CCTTAGGTGTACGTGGCTGGCGCCTTTAGCCGATTGAGCTATAGGCGCCGAGCCGAGCCCTCATTTCTTAATAGTTTTGAAATTTACCATTGCATCATGTACATTAGGTAAGGTCCCCCCAGATACCCTCTGTCCTCCCATATCCTCCCTCCTTTCCTCTCTCTCTCCTCTTCCCTTCTACTTCCTAGACTATAGTTATGTTTTGCCATTCATATGAATGTGTAGGTGATTATATATTGATTTCATAGTAGTATTGAGTACTTTGGATACTCTTTTTTTTCCATTCTTGAGATACTTTACTAAGAATAATATGTTCCAGTTCCATTCAGGTAAAAATAAAAGATGTGAAGTCTTCATCTTTTTTATGGTTGCATAGCATCCCATGGTGTACATATACCACAATTTGTTAATCCATTAATGGGTCAATGGGCACTTGGGCTGTTTCCATGTCTTGGCTATTATGAATTGGGCCGCAATAAACATTCTAGTGCAAATGTCTTTGTTGTGAAATGATTTTTGATCATCCGGGTATATACCTAATAGAGGAATTGCAGGATCGAACAGTAGGTCTATTTTTAGTTCCTTGAGTGCTCTTCAAACTTCTTTCCAAAAAGGTCGTATTAGCTTGCATTCTCACGAACGGTGTAGAAGTGTTCCCTTCCCTCCGCATCCATGCCAACATCAGTAGTTTTAGGATTTTGTGATGTGGGCTAAAATTACCGGAGTTAGGTGATATCTCAAAGTGGTTTTGATTTGCATTTCTCTGATGACGAAGGATGAAGAGCATTTTTTCATGTCTGTGTAGGCCATGCACCTGTCTTCATCAGAGAAGTTTCTGTTCAAGTCTCTTGCCCACATAGAAATAGGGTTATTAGAGGGACTTTACCTAACAATGCCATCAGTGTAACCTGGTTTCTTGTACCCTCAGTGAATCCCCAAGAATAAATAAAAAAGAAATGGGGTTATTTGTTCTTTCCTTATTTTTTTTAAATTTTATTTATTGTATTTTTTTTGAGACAGCCTCAAGCTTTCGCCATGGGTAGACATGCTATGACATCACAGCTCACAGCAACCTCTAGCCCCTGGATTCAAGCAATTCTCCTGCCTCAGCCTCCCAAGTAGCTGGGACTACAGGTACCTGCCCCAACACCCAGCTATTTTTTTGTTGCAGCTGTCATTGTTTGGTGGGTCCAGACTAGATTCGAACTCACAAGCTCAGGTGTATGTGGCTGGTGCCTTACCCACTTCAGTCACAGGCACTGAGCCTATTTATTTATTTTTAGAGACAGAATCTCACTTTTTTTTTTTTTAGAGACAGAGTTTCCCTTTATTGCCCTTGGTAGAGTGCCATGGCATCACACAGCTCATAGCAGTCTCCAACTCCTAGGCTCAGGCAATTCTCTTGCCTCAGTCTCCCGAGTAGCTGGGACTACAGGCACCCACCACAACGCCTGGCTATTTTTTTGTTGCAGTTTGGCTGGGGCTGGATTTGAACCCGCCACCCTGGGCACATGGGGCCGGCACCCTACCCACTGACCCACAGGTGCTGCCCGACAGAGTCTCACTTTATCGCCCTCAGTAGAGTGCCATATGCCTGACAGAGTCTCACTTTATCTCCCTCAGTAGAGTGCTATGGCATGACAGCTCACAGCAACCTCCAACTCCTGGGCTTAGGCGATTCTATTGCCTCAGCCTCCTGAGTAGCTGGGACTACAGGCACCTGCCAGAGTGCCTGGCCATTTTTTTGTTGCAGTTTGGTTGGCACCAGGTTCAGACCTGCCACCCTCGGTATATGGGACCAGCACCTTACTCATTGTGCCACAGGCGCCACCATGCTATCTCTTTTCTCATTATGTCCATATCTTTGGTGACTTGGTCTTTGAACTTATTAATTTCTTGGGAAAACTTTAGAACTACTCTTTGGAATTCAATTTCCATCTTTTCTTCCATTCTATTTATCTTATTTGCCATCCACATTCTAAATTCAGTTTCTGACATTGCTACAATTTGTCTATACATGGCATCTTCAGTTGTAGCTCCTTTGTCATTTCTTGGGGAGTGGGTTGATCTACTCTGGTTATTCATGTTGCCAGAGTTCTTCTGTTGGGTATGCACCATGTTTATTTTCCACTGTTGGGTTATTAGAACTGGTAGGGTGAGATTGAA